GATAAATGTGCGTGCATTTCCAGGCCTCCTTTTAAACTCTGGGAAAGGGTCTGAGGCATTTCATCTGTAGTATCTGTTGAACTTCACCGTGTCAGATATTTACTTGGGACTAATAATATAAACTACGCTGCCCTAAACAAGTTCTGACATAGGCACGAGAGAACGCCGGGGCAAGGCATGTTTCCTCACTTGCCCTCTTGCTAGGGGGATGGCCGTCTGACCTCTGGACCTATTGCACCCGGAGGGAATGAAACTGGCCAGAACCGGGCACAGCCTGACCCCACCCTGCTCGTGCAGGCCTATGTTTATTTACACAGAGAGGAGCACCTGGAGGCCACACTGTGTAGTGGTTACTATTACACATAGAACAATCCAGCAAGTGGATTCCCTGGGGTTAGGAAACAATAGACAAAAGTAAGGTTATATCCATCTTCACAGTGAATGCGGGAGGAAGAGCAGTCTGAATTGGCCATGCATGCACCCAAGGAGGGGAGTCACGGGAGCAATCACGTGCCCTCGCTGCTGATTTTGGAGATCAGATGAGATTTGTTGGTCTAGAGCTGCTTTGGCTGAGCAAGGGGCCATGTAGCCTTTTCTACAGCAGACTCCTTGTCTGTATCTCTTTCTAGGCCCCCGGCAAGACAAATGGCCGAGCTGGGGGGTGGTGTGTGTGCACACGTGTGTGTACGTGTGTGTGCGTGTGTGATGAGGCTTCTCCTCCCTGCAGTGCCTCTCAAACATCTGCTCTCAGAGTGGAAGCTGGGAGGGCTGACACGGTTGCTCTTTTGATTTCAGGGAGAAGACACCCGCTTCTTTTATTCCATAGGGTTTTTCTAGGGGCTCAGACTAGGGGAACTGGGCTGTTTCTAGCCTCCTCCTGGCAAAGAAGGCCATGAGCCCACCTGTGTCTAAGATTAATAGAGCTCCTTTCTCCTCACCTGTGATTGGGAGGTCCAGGGAAGCCGTGTGTGTGTGTGTGTGTGTGTGTGTGTGTGTGTGTGTGTGTGTGTTGGTGGGAGGACATCTTTCCATCCACTGACAACACTCTCCAAGTCTGGTCCCTACCTGAGTAGTCCCTAGAATACACCCCTGCCCCACCTTCCCCCTGCCTTTTGTCCCCACTCAAAATTGCGCCCCTCTGCTCCCCATCTTATTCGCCTCAACTCCCACCCCCGCCCCCACAGGCCTGTTTCTTCTCCCTCCAACTATTTACCTTCAATACAGACAAATAACTGAGAACGTGACCCCCAGAAAGGATCGTTTCTTAAAAAGATCAGTTGCCTGAATTCCTTTGGGCCTGCTGCCATCGTTCTTTTCTTTGTACCTCATTCTCCCGGACTCAATGGCAAGGACAGGAATGATTTAAGGGGGAGAGGGGAGAGTCTCTTTAAGGACCTGGCCACAGGACAGGAGGGCTGGCGCTTGTCAGGGCAGAGCTACATGGTCTGGGATGAGGGTGGCAAAGGCCAGGGTGGATGTGTAGGGCAGTGTGAGTGAGTGCAGGAGGTCCGGATCAAGAGCTCTGGATGGAGCTTGGGAACCTGGGTTCAAGTTCTAGCATGGCCAAGAGCTCCTGAGAGACCCCAGGGGAGTCATTCACCTCTCAGAGCCTCAGTTGGCTCACCTGTACAATTGGTGGGAAGGACAGACTGACTAATCTTCAGCTTGTCTTCCAGCTCGATTTACAAATTGTATGAGGATGGAAATGGGGCTAAAGGATTGAATTTGGTTTCCTTGTGGTTAGCAACTTTTTTTTTAGTTACCATGTCTTGAACATTTCTGAACGATTATCAACAACACTTCCGTAAGGATTTCTAAGCATTTTACATATATGAATTTTATTTGCTACTCATGACAACCCTAGGAGGTAGGTGCAATGATTTTTGTTTCCATCACATGGATTAGGAAACTGAGGCATGGAGAGACTAAGACCAGTAGCGCAGCTGAGATTCAAGCCAGGCAGTCTGGCCGCAGAGGCTGGGTTCCTCACCGCCACATGCAGCATTCCAGGCACCGTGCTAAATGTTTGCCAAATCCTCTCCACTTTGCAGTTGAGAAATCTGAGACTCAGAGCAGTTGAGCAACAGTTGGAGGTCACACAGCTGGGAGGCAATAGAGTTGAGGTTCACAGTCAGCCAGTCTCCAGAGCCTCGGCTCTCCCCCATCCGCCTCCACAATCTTGCCAGATCCTCAGGCGCCCAAAGCAAGTTTATCCAGTATCCGTACATTGCAGTGTCTATTTAAGCAAGTCAGTTCCTCTCTCTGAGCCTCAGTTTCCCCATCTAGAGAGTGATTGGGGCTTGGGCCAGCTGGAGGCCCTCCCTGGAAACACCATTTTGGGGATCTTTGAGGCCCCTTGCAGCTCCGTGAAACCATGATTCTAGAGGTGTGGTGCTTCTGGCTGGAAGGGCAGATTTGTGGCCTGGGGTTGCAGCCAGGGAAGCTGGGGGGAAAGGTGCTGGAGCTGGAAAGAAGGGGGAAGCTGTGGGAGACGGGGAGGGGCTGTGGGGGCCATGAACCTAGGAAGACGGGGCGGTTGTATGAAGCAGATGAGAGAGAGAGAGAGAGAGAGAAGCCCTTGGGGGAGTGCTCCCCAGTGAGTCTATTCTTTCTTCCTAGGGGTCCCCCAAAGTTCATTGAAGGCACATGAGGGTGCTGGGCAAGGAAACAGGGGCCAGGCCAGCAATGAGCTGAGATAGAGCAGTTTGGGGAATTAACTTTGCTGGGGTTTTGTAAATACTTGGAGATGTCCAGTTATTTTAGAAAAATGTATTTGAAGCTGAGATGGCATGTTTGTGCGGTTGGACTGGCTTCCTGTTCACGACCGTTCCTTTACATTTCTCCCTTCAGGAACTGAGGCTGGGTTTCCTGCCTGTGCCCTCGTTAGGATGTGCACACCAGTGGGCTCCACGCTCCTCTTGGGGTCCCACAGGCACTCTGGGGTTCCCCCTTTCTCCCCACACTCGTGCACACGCATTTGCAGCTGCACCATTTAATATTTAATGCTGCTGCGGCAAGCACTGCCCCACGCTGACTGCGTCCGTGCCGGGTTCCTTTTTCCCAGGGCGCCGGTTCCCAGTGTGGAAGCCGGCTGACAAACAGTGCCCAGGGCATCCCACGGCGGAGGGTAATGTAATGTGCTTGTGAAATTGGACAATGGGCTTCATTACCAGACAGGCTTTTTTTCACTTTGTAAAGTTGATGGAATCACCTTTGCATGAATGTCACCCCCTTCCCCGCATCAGGCCCCCAAGTATTGGTGCTCAGGGCCCTTTAGACCCCTCCTCATACGTCACAGCTTGGGCTAACTTCCGCTCTGGCTTGGAGGGGTCAGGTTCTGGGCATCAGGGCACCCCAGGGACATGGATATACGTGGAGGGCAGTGGCTGTTTCTTGATTCTTGCCCCTCCATGGTGGGTAACCATACATTGGCTATTGCTGCAACAATGGTCAGTAGGGAGGGACGTGGGTGAACCTGGCTTTCAAGCAGCCAGCAAAGGGTAAGCCTATCACATGGGTCTCATCCCAAGCCCCCTTAATCCAGCATGCTGTGGTCTCTGTGCCCAGGGGGAGGCCCTCCCTGGAAACACCATTTTGGGAAACTTGAAGGGACTGACAAAGGGTCAGGGGCTCTGGTTCCAGGCTGAGCCGGGACAGATGAGCAGATCAGTGTATAAATGTTCCTAAAGGTCAGGGAGAGCTCCCAGCCATTGAGGTTACAGGGACAACTTGGTTCTTTCCAAAGGTCAGCTCACACTGGTGTCTCTAGATCACTGCTGATGGCGCAGGCTTAGGTCCTCTCCCATGAGCTCTGGAAGGGCATTTGCAAGACAGGCACCTTGTGCCTCCCCTCCCCCTGCTTCTTTTAGTCTCTTGGGGCTGTGTCATTGGATGGGCTCAGGACATAGCTCGGCAGACCTCGTGGCTCCGAGCATCTCTGAGCAATGAAGACCGGGGCAAAGAGAGGAGTGGGGGTGGTCAGGTGGGAAGTGAGAGTTTGCAAAACAGGAACATGCCCATTTGTCATTTATCAAAAAATGTTCCCTTCTTTTAAAGCTGTTGTTTCCTCAAGGGAAACCTTGTATTTGTATATGAGTAAACCGTGCTGGACAGGATGAGAGTTTTTTGTCCCCACGACTAAGAACAAAAAGCAGCTCATTGGTCTTTGGCAGCCAGCACTGTCACCACCCCCTGGCCCCTAACCCCTCTCCCTGCCCTCTCCTCCATCTGAGCAGAGCTGAGACCTGAGAAGGGCTGGCCACACGTCATCCTTGCCCCAGAGTCCTGGCTGGGAGCGTGGCTTTGGCCGGGCAGAAGCGGCTGGCCTGACCTGCAAGAAACACCACACCCCTCCCCGAGGAGAGCCTGGGAGGGCAGCAGCCTGATGAGAGGTGGCAGGCGAGGGGCAAGTGTGCTTTGGGGGAGGCCTAGAGGCTGCCATTTCTTGCTGGCTCAGATGAGAGTGGAAAAAGCGATGAAGGCAGAAAGTCGGAGTTGGGCCCTCTGGCATCCCCCTCTCGCTGCCATGCCAAGCCTCCCCACCATCTCTGGTCTTGGAGACAAAGCCTTGTTTTCTGGAAGACCTTGTCTCAGCCCTTGAATCTCAGGGAGGATGTCATTCTAGGTCAGAAGGAGTTTCCTTCAGAGGACCCGCCGGGCCCCCTCCGCCAGCCTACCTGTCACCAACTACTTGTTCACCCCAAGAGTGTGGACCGTATTCCGACTTCCACTTTGGGTTTTTGGTTTAGGAGACAACAGCCTCAGTTTGGGAGTGTTGCAGGACTTGGTGTGGCTCATCGGCCACAACTCTTTGCAACCTTGGTGGAGGTAGCTAGGGCCGGGCTGAAGCCCGGGCTGCGGCACGGGCTTTCCCCACGAGATAAAACTTAACAGCCAGGACTGCTTTTCCCTCTGCAGTTTTTGGAGCCCAAGTCATCTGCTCCCTATCCCCAGCCCAGGGGCCCTGGGGGAGGTCCATCTAGTCCTGGCAGAGGAGCCTCCTACGGGGAGAAGGTGGTGGTGGTCTCAGCCTCCACACTCATGGAGGAGCGCCGGGTGTGGCGGCAGGAAGACCACTGACGGAGCCGCTCCTGGCTCAGGCAGCCCAAGTCCTTGAAGAGTTTGAAGAGATCGCTTCTGAACTTGACGCCAATGAAAGCATATAAGAAAGGGTTGACGCAGCAGCGGACGCAGGCCAGGCTGTAGGTGATGTCGTAGGCGATGTCGAGCTGCTTGCTGAGCTCACAGCTGCCGCTGCCAGTGATATTGAAGTTGGCCACCGTCTGGGCCAGGACCACCCCATTGTAGGGCAGCTGGAAGGCTATAAAGACCACGACCACAGCGATGATGACCTTGATGGCTTTGTTGCGCTCAAAGTTGCGTGCCTGGAGCAGGGTGCGGATAATGACGAGGTAGCAGAAGCTCATGGCCCCCAGGGGGATCAGAAAGCCCACCACCATCTGGGCCACCTGGATGGTGATCAGGGCTTCCACGTGCTCAGTGATGAGGGAGCACCGCAGTGCTTGTTCGCTGCTGCTCTTCTGGAGGCCGCTGTACATCAGCTCTGGGGTGGACAGCACCATGGCCAGCATCCAGATGCCCACACAGGAGAGCTTGCTGATGAAAAGGACGCGGGCACGGTGTCGGTGGGCCGACACGGCCTGGACAATGGCCACGTAGCGGTCAATGCTGATACAAAGAAGCAGCAACATGCCACTGAAGAAGCTTATCTTGTAGATGCCAAAGATGATCTTGCAAATGTGGACGCCGAAGGCCCAGGACTTGGCCGCGCTGTATGCCCAGAAGGGAAGGGTCAGGAGGAAGAGGATGTCTGCCATGGCCAGGTTGAGCAGGTAGGTATCGGTCATGGTCTTGAGCCTCTTGAAATAGATGTAGGTCAGCACAACCAGCCCGTTGCCCAGCAGACCCATGAAACAGATGACGGAGTACATGACTGGCAGGAACCAGGCTTTAAAGTTCCGCACGTCTTTCTTGAAGCATACGGACTCATATAGCGTGTAGTCCACCGTGGTATTTTCTCCGATGTAATCATCTGTGACCTCATCTTGGCACAGGCACACCTGCGGGGACGGGAATAGGGCAACATGATCCAGCTTAGTGAAGTGGTTTCCAGCTCAGCTCAGCGAATCTTGCTGCCCTGGGATTGCCCCAGGGCAGTGGTTTCAACGTGTGGCCCCCACCACTGGCATCATCAGCATCACCTGCAAATTCTCGGACCCTACTTGAGATGAACCATAATCTCAGAGGGCGGGGCTCTATGGATCTGGGCCACTTTCCAGGTGGTTCTTTGGTGTGAAACCAGTGCTTCCCAAATTTTAACACACATATAAATTACCCGGGGATCTTGTCAAAATGCATGTCCTGATTTAATAGGCTGGAACCCAAGATTCTGCATTTCTAATAGGTAGCAAGGGTCTGATCTTGCCATCTCTGAGACACTTGTCACTACTTGCCCTGATGGGGGACTGGAAAGTGTCTGGGTTTTCAGGTCAGATGAGCCTTGGGCCAGATAAACACACTTTATCTCTGGGCCTCAGTTTTCTCATCTGTGGAATGGACATGGGGACTATCTCCCTCACGTGGCTGTGGCGAGGGGCCTAACTTAGGTTCTGGCGCCTGGAAACTCCAGGAGAGTTAGGATGTGTGCCTTTCTTCTTGAGCTTCCTTTAGAATCTGCTAGAAAGATTTTTTCCAGGGAGCCTACAAAATACTTGAGCTTTTAAGGGAAAATCCACCTTGGAGTTAAGGTTGAGGAGGGCCTAGAGCAGGAAGAGAGGAAGGCAAATGCTTGGTTGAGAGGCCTTGAAACCCTGGTGTGGGGTGAGCTGCTGTGACTTTGGGTGGTTAGGGACTCGAAGAATTCTATGAATCCCTGGGGCCCGAGGCACCGTGCCCGGCACGCAGTAGGGGCTCAGACAATGTGTGCCCAAGTGCACTCAACTGCACGGCATGGCAGGAGTGGTTGATGCACCACTGGGCCATAGACTCCTCAGCTGTGACGGAGTCCTCCCTGCACCTCAGGAAGAGAGTGTGGTTCTGTCTCCCTCTCCCTCTGTGCTACCCTCTTCCCCTACCTCTCTGTCTCTTTCTTCCTTGCAGTCTCTTCCGGCAGATCCCAATCAGCCAGGCTCAGCTGCTCAGGGCTTTTTTTAGCGTGTCTGCAGGGCAGGGTGAGGGTTCAGGCAGCCTGCTGTGATTTTTATCAATGAAGGAGGACTCACGTCCGCCTGCCCCGTGCCTCAGCGCACAGCGATGGCTAAGCCTGTGCAGCCTGGCAGTGGGGCTGCAAGATCGCCTCAGGAAGCCCACGGTCCCTCCTCTGGGAAGTGGGCTCTGGGCAGCTCAACAGGATGGGGTTTGCATACAACTGGGGAGCTGGAGTGACTTTAGAGCTGAGGAAAGGGAGGCTCTTGGAGAGCCTCGCTCAAAGTTACATAGCCAGAGTGGAACCCAGTCTACTGACTTCCCCACATCCTGTCTCTGTCTTTCTTACTTCCGAATTCTGAATTTATCACTGTCCTGCTTGGGGACAGAACAAGGACAAACTAATGTCCAGGAGCCTTTTTTCTTTGGGCTTTGCTATCTTGAGCCAATATCAGTGACAACCCCCTTTCCCTCATGTGGGCATGATGGCAGCCTGGGAGTCCTGGAAGAGGCTGGTTGCTCTCAGCCACCCATGGTAAGGCCCAGGATTTTAAGTCCGGGGTCCCTGGACATAAGGGGGTACACCCAGCCTCTATGAAGCATGCTCCCCACCACCCTGTCCCGCCTTCTCTTTCTCCCCTTTATTACCTCCTGGCTCCAGGCCACCAGGCTTGATGCCTCTGTAGCCTTCAGCCCCACCACATCCTGCCCCATCTGAGCCACCCCCCCTCCCCCCAAGGAAAGAGAAGAATGAGCCCCAGCTGTCTTGTCCCCTCCCCAACCTTCCAGGCTCCACTTGCAGCAACACAGCCCCTCCCGAGTCCTGGAAATGGGAAGCAAGAGGGGAGTGAGTGGTGATGAGGAGGGGGGCCAGGCTGCAGCCCAAGCTCCGGGGGGCCTCTGGGATGGGGTTTTGGGAACAGCGCCCAGGTTGGGGCCTGCCTCTGGCCGGAGCTCTTGGAAAGCTGCCCCTCTGGCCTCCAGACCTGGGGAAGCGCCAAATTCTGAAGGACTGCCTCTCCGGTTCTGGCCTCAGCCTCCCCCTCCCCCTCCCCCTCCAAGAGAGCTCCCGCCCCGAACAAATGGAAGAGAGTAGACTGTATGAGTTACAGTTTCTTCTAACTCTGGTACTTCACGGGGCCAGATTTCCTGTCTCCGTTTCTGGGATTGTGAAGCAGAACGTTGTAAACTGGGGGACTTTGCTCCTGCAGAGTTCAGGCCCCCATAAAGTATGTGCACCAACCCCCACCCCCAGTGTCCCAGGCCTCATCCTTTCTTCCCTCCCCATTAAGTGGGGCTCAAATGGGCCTCTTGACTTCACAGAAGGGACTGGGGCCTCCAGGGGAGGCTTTGGCTGGACACTGGGGGAGGGAGACAGCTTTGCGGTAACTGGATAGTAACCAGGCCACCAGACCAAGGGTTCTCTCAGCTCACGTATGAAGTTTTACACGTGTGGCTGTGCATACATATGCACAGACTCCAGTCACCTCACAGCCTTTGCTTTGTGCAGTTCCTTCCCACGAACTCAGATGGAGCCCACATTTCTGGATCCTGGATGGTGACAGTGGAAGTGGGGTGGGGGAGACAGTGGTGTCTTATTCCCTGACCCCATGTTTTCATTTAAATGGAGTAAAGGACATTCAGAGACCATCTGTGGCTTTGTAGGTCACTCAGCAGATGGAGAGGGATGGCCATCAGCTTAAGGAATAACGAGTGGGTTTGTGTCTGGGTCTATTTCCTTCCAGCAAGTGCCCACCTCTTCCACCAGGACCCCAGGGATGGGAAGGGGGGGGACTTGGGGAGGGTGTATGGAGGAGGGAACAGAGCTTTTCTCGGCCACAGATCTCACCTGGAAAATGACAAGGAGAGCCACCACCAGCACGCTTTTCATTGGTTTCCCTGTAGGAGACAAGGTGAGAAAGTTATTGCGTGGCAGGGCCAGGGATTTGTTATGAAAGAAAGCCTCTGGGAGGGGTGGGGGCACTGCTGGGAACTTTCATCACAAGCCCCAGGCACCACATTTGCCTGGAACATCAGAACCAGATTGTGCCTTGAAGCACCTGGCTGCCTGCCCAGCCTTGCCGCCCTCTCCTCCTCGTTCTCTACTCTGAGGTCCTGGGAAGGAGTGGGATCAGCGGGCAGTCCCTGCTCCCCACCCCCTTCTTGGTTCTTCAGGGTGTCTTCTGGAGTTGGAAAGTCCACTCTGGCCCATACCACCCCTCAAGGCTGAATTTTGATTGACCTTGACACCTGGGTCTGAGCGGCCCCTCCCAGTCCAGGTTATATGGGTAGCACAGCCCTGAGGTGGTGGTGGTCAGGGTGTGTGTGTGTGTGTGTGTGTGTGTGTGTGTGTGTGTCCTGCACCGTTCTGGTGCCAGTAGCCACTGGGGAGCATTTTTCCTACACCCAGGTGAGTGGGCAGCCCCAAATACAGCCCTGAGTGTCTTCTGGGTGAGGCCAGCTGAGGAAATAGGGTAATGTCACAGGGATGGGTGGAGGAGTGAGGTTATTTCCTTGCATCTCAAAGATGGGAAAGTGCTCTGGGGACCCATCTGCCTCCATAGCCTCTCATTCAAGTGACATTCATCAAGGCCAACTGGTGGTTTACTTTGCCTGTTCTCTCAGCCTGCTTTTAGAGCAGGGATCTCTTCCCTTTTACCCAGCGCAGACCCCAAATCAAGAAGGCACCCGGGAATTGTGTGTTGGTGAATGAATGAACGAATGAATGCCCTGCTTCCCCTTCTTCCAAGGGAGAGAGAGCACCAGGATGGCCTGAGGGGACACTGTCCTGTGACAGTGTGGTATGATGGGAGACTTCTCTGAAGTAACTACTTTTTTGGCTTGACTGAAGTGTGTGTATACGTTCTCTCTTTAACTTCTTTCTAATCCGGGGCCTTGTGTGATGTGGAAAAGGGGAACGTGTTCAGCTGTGGGGAAGGGACCCTGTCTGGCCTGTCCAGAGTGTGCCCTGGGTACATTCTGGAAGCCAGGAGGCTCTCCTTGAGTCTGAGCAGCAGGCCGAGACCCTAGGTGAGCACAGGCCTGGTGTGCTGCGGTCAGAAGATGGACAGTTGGCTGCTCAGTTCGGCTTTGTAGAGGAGCTGAGGGGCTGGAGCGGGAGCTTACTTCCTCTGAGGGCTGAGCAGGGAGGACAGTTCACAGGGTACTTTAAGTACAGATCACCTAACCTTCTGGGAGCACCCGGAGGGCAGGAATTGTGCTTTCTTGCCTTTGTAGCCCCCTCCCTATAATAACAGGACCCTCAGTTCCCAGCCAGGGCCTGGCCCACAGGACAGTCAATAACTGGGGTGCCACCAATGCATGCCCAGGCAGGACTTGTAGGCCGGTCGCACCTCCAGCCTCAGCAGGGACAGGGAAATGCTTCGGACTGTGCTTCAAGCACCTTCTGGAAGCCGGGGGCCCTCTTCCAGCAGCGAGGAATTCTGCTTCCAAGAGGGAGAGCACCAGAGTCTGTTTCCTTGGCCACAGCGCCACCTGCTGGAAGCCTCTCTGCATGACACCCAATTCACACACCGTGTGCTCTGATGGAGAGCCTAACGCGGGGGATTCTGGGCTTGGGGGTTCCTGAGTGAAGGAGGAAGGGCATCAGGCCACATAAGCAAATAGGTATTTCTCTCACGTCAAGCAAGTTATACGGCACACTACTGCTAGACACGTCTTTCTGAGGCTGACCTCTGATGCCCACCCCGACCAGCTGTCCTCCGAAATCCTGAGGACCTCGCCATCCACCCCTAAGGAGGAAGCCCCCTTAGCTTAGTATGGCAGTCAAGACCCTCATGGTCTTGCCTCATGGACCCGCCTTCCTGGCTGTCTTCTCTTTCTGAGGGCAGGCACCCACTAGCCCGTTGTCCCCAGCTTGCCCCCTTGTTCCCTGGTGGGGAACAGATTGTCATGCAACATCCTAGCCCCCCTCTCCCATCCGCCTTCCTTACTGAATTACCCGGAGGGGCCCTGCCCAAGCCCACGTCTTTACTTCAGCCACGCTCTCGTCAGGGTCCAACGCGCACAGCCCAGCCTCCACTGACTCATCTTGGCGTGAAGCGCTCGAGGTTTCTTTAAACACGTACAAATATTTCGTTACTCTAGAGAAAGCTCGTTTTGACTGTCAGTGAGAACTGAGAAACCTCAAAGGTTTGATTAAGTCACAACGGGTGAGATACAAGGAGCAAGAGGTGTCTCTATTTTACTCCATCAACCCCTTCTCCTCCTGGACCCTGTCCCATTCCTTTGCTCACCGGTGGAGGGGAAGAGAAACGGGGCGAGACCAGGGTGTGTGTGTGTGTGTGTGTGTGTGTGTGTGTGTGT